AAGAAAAGATTGAAATGAGTGTAAGAACACACTGTGGAACTTGCTCTAGAATACAGAAAACCTAAAGTGAAAGGAAAAAACTGATAAAGGGAATTTAACAGATTAAGGGACAACTGGAGAAGACAAGGCAAAGCATTTTAATAAAATGTACCAACAGTTACTGTTAGATTACTGTTACCAAAAGAGAACACACTAGACAATTTTCAAGATAAAAGAACTGAAGACTTGAAACACCTATTGATGAAAATCAAAGATTATAACTTTTTAATTTTTTTAATTAATTTTAATAAACATTTACAGAGGTTTTGGATTTCCATTCATTCATTGCCGCACTTTTCTCCCTGCCCACCCCTCCCCACCAGTTCATTCCCCTCTCCGAAAAGAAATAGGAAAAAAATTTCCTTCATTGGTATACAACGACAATACTTCAGTACCAACTCTACAGCACAAAACAACAACATCCTGGATATAAAAGTTAAGTTGGCATACCTGCATTAATACTGAAATTTAACATTAACACCTCCCTTGCCTTTAAGGATCACCCTGGTTGCACTTCCTTCAAGACAGATTTGTTTGTTCTTTTGGCAGTCCATGAGATATTCATAATTCTTCTCCAATACCACAATTCACTGGCATTGATTCCTCTTGAATTTCTTTATCCATTTTCCAACCTTAACATGCAAACAGAACAATTGAAAATACGTGGATCAGAAGCACCTCAGTCTTCAAACTAACATTGTTGCTCGTTAGCACTTTAAACACATCCTTGACAGCATATTTTCTCAATCTAAAATATCTTTTGATTTATTTTTTTCCTTTTGATTTCTTGATTGCTGCTATCATAGTTGTTGACTGTGGATCCAAGCAAAATTGAATCCTTGACAACATCAATTTTTTTCTCCATGTATCATGAAGTTGCCTAGTTGTTGACAGATCGATATTATTTTGCATTGTCTAGCTTAACTAAATTATAAAGTTTTTAATTTTAAAAGTTTTAAGTTGTAAATATATGCCTTTAATAATATAACTTCAAGTACTATGTACTGAAATTCATCATTGTAGATTGAAATTCATCCCCCTCCCCCTGCCAAAATGTGTTGCATATCCTAATCTCTGTCTGTGGTTATAATCTTACTTAGAAATGGGTTTTCTTTTTATGTTAGTAAGACAGAATTTATGTAAAGTGTTTTTTAAATTAATCTCCTTTGAGATGTAAAAGAGAATATTGCACGAGAGAGGGAGCTGGACTTACGAATTCAGAGTCCCAAACTCCTAAACTGATAAAATAAATTTCTGTTTATAAAAGTCACCTACTCAAATTTCTTTTATAGCAGCATTAGATAACTAAGACAGATATCAATTTATATAATATAAATTTTGTTTTTACGAAGGCAAATATAGTCCATTTCAGTTTTTTTAAATTATTATTATTAATTTTAATGAAAATTTATAGAAACTTTGGATTTCCATTCATTCATTGTTGCACTTTTCTCCATGCCCCCCCACCCCCATCCTAGATTGCTCTTCTCTTTGAAAAGTAAAAGAAAAATTCTTTCATTGTATAAAATCCCTCCCCCCAAGTTCACTTCACTATGATGCAGCCTTTGTTCTGGACTCCTGTCATGACAATAATACCTAATCACATATCCCTTTTAAACAGTTCTCGCCATCATCTGTTTCAATGCAGTATGCATTATTTATCCCATCTTTCTCAGTCTCCCTCCAACCCCAATGTCAGTCCTGTTTTACAACAGTGACACTATGTAGTATTTGTCCTTTTGTGACAGATATTTCACTCAGCTTAATGTTCTCCAGGGTCACCCATTTTGCATAATATTTCATGAGTTCCTTGTTTTTCAATGCAGCGTAGTATTCCATCATGTGACTATACCACAGCTTCTCTATCCATTTATTTGTTGATGGGCACTTAGGTTGTTTCCAACTCTTTGCTATTGTGAACAAAGTCGCAATAAACATGGGTGTGTATATATCTGCTTGGGTGGCCATTATGGTTTCTTTGGGGTATATTCCCAGTAGTGGAATTTCTGGTTCAAATGATATTTCTTTTTTTTTAATGGCATGTGGTTTCCTTCTGTAATAACTCTATCTTTACCATAGAAACAGGTTTTTAAAAAGTAAAATACAAAATACTGGATATAGAAATACAAAAATCAATGTATGCAGTTCTCAGATAGTTTTATACAGTTACCAGATGTCTGTAGAGAGTTACTCTGAAGACAGAATAATGGGTTAGAATGTTTACAATAAATGAATGTGGGCAAGGCTATACAAGTGTTCTTTGTACTTATGCTTTCAGTTTTTCTGTAAGTCTAAAATGATATCTAAAGAAAAGTTAAAATGAAGAAAGAAGAGTAGTGGTGGTTTATCTTTTTTGAGCATAAAATCTAAGTCCAAAAGCTCTGAATTTTTATAATGAGCATTGTCTTCCTTTTTTTAATAGTTATTTATAACCAGGTATTGTTGTAGTTTTCCTTGCCTTGCCTTAATTCATATTCAATGTCCAAACTAGATTCTAGATTCCTCCACACTGAATTAACAATTGTAGGACTGCCCCAAACCATCCAATTCTGCAAAAGGACTGAATATAGAAACTCATCTGCAATCATTTTATAATCTTGCACCAGTCATTTTCTGTTGACATTACTGGTAAATGTTTACAGATCCCTTATTACCAACAACTGTTGTCTTTAATGCTTGTGCTACATTATATTGGGATGATTCTTATTGCTGAATCTATCATTACATCATTCAAATAGTAAATTTATTCATTAAAGAGGTCAGGAGCTCATCAGTAAGTGGAAAATCATTACAGTTATCTTGGAAATACTAACTTTCCAGCACTGAAACAACCAAAGAGCTATGCAGTATGATTCTGATTGTTAAATTTCAGTTACTGAAGTGGTGTTAATAACAATAATACAAACTCATCAAATGTTTCAATTAAAAGAAGGCAATTTATTATCACCATCTTTGTCATTCGCACAAAACGAAATCCACTACTAAAGGAAAACAAAGAAATAGACATGTGACTTGCTGAAAGTGTATCAAGAACATAATTTTCATGTACATAGGACAGCACCCTGAGGATATATATAAGCTATATCACAGTTTAATAATCTATTCAGTAATCCAGTCAACATTTATTGAGCACCTAGGCACAATGAGGGATTTAAAAATGCATACAAGAATCCCTGCTTTCAAGGAGTTTTATAGTTTAGTATTGTTGCTGTGTACCGTTGAGTCAGAATCAACCCATAGCTGACCCTTCAGTGGGTTTTCAGAAGCAGTTAATCACATGGGAAGAGATTGCCCATCCTTCTCCCACAGAGCAGCTGGTGGATTCTAATCATGTGTTTGCGGGATTGCAGTGCAGCTTCTTGACACTAGGCCACCAGTGTTCTCTTAGTTTAGCATTGTTGTTGTTGTTGTTGTTGTTGTTATGTGCCATTGATTTGCTTGCAACTCATGGCGACACTAATGTACAAAAACTCTGAACTATCTTGAGCCAATTTCATTGTTTCTGACACACGTAATTCCACTATCCCAGTCATTGAATCAACCCACCTCATTAGGAGGTATTTAAAAAACACCAAGAGTACAGGGTCACATGAGATCAGTTCCATAATGGCAGCAGTGCCTTAAGAGATAATTGAAGTCCTACTGAAGAATGAATCACAGGAGGAGGCAAAAATCAAAATCAGAGACTCAGAATCAGAAGAGGATCCATAGACAATGTAATATCTTGAGTCTTCAGGACCTGGAGGGATTTTTGGAAGACTGGCATGTGGAGAAGCGACATTGTAGGTGTAGGCCAAAGAATGGTCATTGGAACCTTCATGGCATGCTTATGGAGAGAAGAATAGTTCACGGTTTGACTGGTGTATAGTGTTTTATAAGTGGGAACAGTGGAATAAAATGCTGAAAGTTAGTGCTGTTGTAGACAAGAGGTTCTGTCAGCAAGGCAAAAGAGAAGACGACTATGTTTGTTACCTTTCTTTGTACTAAAATATGTATGTTTTTAATAAATAAAAACTGTCCTTATTGTAAAAAAATTCTGAAAGTTAACGGCTTTGAATGACAGGCTAAGATTTCAAATGTGTAATCTATTCTCCCTTTATACAGAAATAACTGTTATTTACCCACATCAACAAAATAGACAATTATTCATGAAAAAGTATAATCATTTCACTTCCAGATTTTTTAAAGAAAAGCATGAGTTTTCCAGGCAATGTTATCCCCTACAATTAATGTCTTAACAAATAACATCAAGCAACTTAAAAGTTATTTTCCTCTTTTGCATGGACTTCAGTCATGTTTCTCAAAGTCTTATATTCTTTCCATCTAGGGACTACACCTTTTGCCATTCCAATCTCCCATTTCACCAGTTTTTGTGGCAACTGACCTGTTTGGACAAGTTCAATTAAGGATTTTTAGCCACAGTGGTAGCGCTGAAACTAGGACCTACAGTCTTTACAAAGTGAGAGTAGTGGTGGGAGGGGTAGTGAAGCGTGTCATAGAAATGTTGCCACATGTGAACTTGTATGAAATCCTCATCCTGAGAGTCAAAGGTAGTAGCTCTTTGAAACTGGAGTTTCGGGTCCTTCATTTATCTTAGTCTGGAGTGGTACCAGAACTTGCAGTGCCTGATTAAGATCACCCTTTTAAGCTTCCTCTTATTCTCAGGAAATTCTTTAAAGGAATGCTATTTGTTCTGGGCTACAAGTTTTTTAAAGGCCTGCTGGTTCTGAGGCTACTGAAGCTGTGGAAAGACTTCAGTGAGTTTCTTTTCCAAGGAATCCTGTTGGATTTTGTTTGTGCCCAACAGGTTGATGGCTGGGAACTTCACTCACGCAATGGCATTTAATAGATGCAAAGGAATGGATATATTGAGTAACCAAGCCAAAGAAGTAAGTTACATAGAACCAACCTGAGAGGGCTTAGAAAAACAAATGGGTCCTGGCTATATTTTCTGCCACTGGTCAGTCTTTTGGCTCTTTCTTTGAATAAGACTTCTGCAGGAAATCATGGATAGCAGTCGTGAGGCCCCATGTCACACTGGACCTTAGGATGACTAGGGATCCCCCACGGTAGATCAGGAACAACTTCCGGCCCCGAGTGTCCCACACATCCTGGATAGAGGCCCACAGGCTAGGCATGCTCTGCCAGCCAATATGGGACTGCATATTGGCAACCAGCACAATCAGAGGATACAGAATTAGACAGGTGACTGTTCCATTGACACTCCCAGACACCAAGGCAGGAACCCATTGGGGAAGGCCTTGTTTGGCCAGGCTATCCTGGATGGGGTCCTTAAAGGAGAAATACAGAGCACTCCCCAGGCTATTCCTGATAAGGACAGGCCAGAAACCACGATAGTAGCCCAGTGAGAAGCTTCCCCAAAACCCATAAGAATTGAATTCCTTGAGGATGCTGATGGTGCTAGGGAAGCGGGCTTGCTTGCGACCATCCTGGAGCACATTCTGCACCCTTTCAAAGGGGTTGAGTACCACAGCCTCCACCACACCAGACAAGAGCCCAGCTGCCCAGCGGTGTGCCAGGGTGTGTGGCCCGATAGGAGAAAGATAGATGAGCAGATTATCATAGGTCCCAAAGAGCAGAGTCCCTTGCAGTGTCTTGGAGAGAAGAGGAGGGTAAATTCCCCGGAAGAAGTACTGAGGACCTTCATGCCAAATCTGTCGCATTGCCACTGACACTGCCACAGCATGGATCTGCTGTCGGAACACAACCTTATAAATAGGGAAGGTCAAAAAGGTAGACATAAAGTTGGAGACAGCCCCAAGGGCATAGGCCTGAGAATGCCAGCTTTTCTTTCCTGGAATCTCAGCTCGTGTCCTTTGCTGAAGCTTCTTCTCGGAAGGGTGGCTCTGGTCTCCCATGCTGAAAACAACTGGGAATAGACGGAAAAAACTGGTAAGAGTGGACAAAGAAGAGGTTAGGGTGACTACTTAGTTCTGTTGGTGACCCTTTTCATAGCTTCATTAGCAACAGAGTCCAATGAAGCTCAGTTCAAAGCAAGCAAGCAAGCAAGCAAGCAAGCAAGCAAGCAGTAGTTTAGACTAGTTTCAGTGCAGGCCCACCCTTAAAAACTAAAGAATTCAGTAAACTTAAAATAAAGGTAAGGAGCTCTGGCAGTTTAGTGATAAGGAGTTGTGCTGCCAACCCAAAGGCCCGTGGTTCAAATCCACCAACTGCTTTGCAGGAAAGATGGGAAATCACCTGTGCTATCTACTGCCTCTGAAAACTTGCTAGAGAGTCAGCCATTGGTTGGTTCTGACTCATCAGAAACCAACAACAAAGGAAGGTGGTCTGTTTTTTTCAAGACAGAGTCATCTCTAGCTATGGTGTTTTGCTGAAACAAAGGTTCCTGAATTCAAAGAAAGATAAAAGAAAGTAAAAAAAGCAGCAAGGAAAGCAGAGAAAGAGGGCATTTCAAAGCCTATCACATTCAACTGTTACAATATGAACCACTGCTGAATCAGGTAAACTACACGACTCTGCAGTGGTTATTCTTGTTCCCCACAAAAGTGTTGCTGTCTTGTACACACAGCAAGACATTCAGCATTCATAAGTTGTGGTGTAATGCTTTCTATGGAAAGTTGGTAGTGAGTTTGGGAAGGAGAAAAATCTCACCCATGCTGCAGTTTCCTGATGAAGTTGTAGCTGTTTCATGATAATGCTCTCCCTGGAAAGAGCAGCCACTCCTGGAAGTTTGGCAATTTCCAAACCTAATTAATCATATAAACCTGTGCCTATATAAAAAAGCAGACAAGCCCTGGTGACATAGGGGGTTAAATGTCGGGTTGTTAACCCCTTTAAGATTTACAACCTTATTCTCAAAAAGTTGGAAATAGAAATACCATTTTAACCCAGTAATGCTGCGTTAATTACTGGAGCTATACCCTAAAGAAACCAGAACCATCATCCAAACAGATGTATGCACACCCGTGTTTATTGCTGCATTATTTACAAAAGCAAAGAAATGGAAGCAACCCAAGTGCCCTCAGCATCAACAAGTACATTAATAGGAAAACTGTCGTATATTTATACAATGAAACACTAAAATGGAAAAACAATGAAAACATTACACAACATGGGTGACCTTCAAGGACATTATGCTGAGTGAAATACCTCAGTCATAGAAGGACAAATTCTGCATAGCACCACTGTTAAAAAGCAGAACTGACAGTGGATAGATAATGAACACTGTATTGGAAAAGATGGAGGAAAGACTGTTTAAAAGGAATATATGATTAGGCATTATATGTATGACAACAGAGGTATATTGCCAGAAGGACTTAGGGGGACTGGTGAGAGGTAATGGTGCAACCTTGAGTAATTACTTTTAAAATATTGAACTGGGGGAAGGGAAAGAGAAGAGGAGAATGTGCAACAATGAATGAATGAAAATCTAACTTCTCTGTAAACCTTTGTTAAAATAATAATGAAAATAAAACATTTTATTAAAAAAAGATTTAGTTAAGTGGGGAAACAACAGCCTTTTTAACGAGCGGTGCTGGCAAAACTGGAAAACTACCTGTAGAAAACTCAAGCAAGATCCACACCTCACTCTTCATACATAAAAAACACCTCAAAATGGATGATGGACCTAGGACTAAAACCAAGGACTATACATTTCATTAAAGAAAAGCTTGGAAGAACTTTAGAAGTCCTAATCCACAACATAAACAATCTTCCAAGCATCCTGAAAAATCTACAACCAGAAGAGGATAAAATAGATGGGACCTTCTAAAAATCAAATCCCAATGCACATTCAAAAACTTCTCCAACAGAGTAAAAAGGGAAGCCACAGATTGGGAAAAATATTTTATAATAACATGTCAGATAAGGGACTTATATCTAGAATTTATAAAGTACGTGAGCACCACAAGATAAAGGTTAAAAGCCCCGTTGAAAATGGGCACAGGATATGAACAGACACTTCATTCAACAAAGAGGACATTCAGATGGCCAACAAATACATGAAGAAATGTTCAAAATCCCTAGCGCTAAGAGAGATGCAAATCAAAACAACTATGAAATATCATCTCACCCCAGTAAGAATAGCAATATTTAACAGAGCACAAACAGCAAATGTGGGCGAGGATGTGGAGAAACTGGAACCCTAATTCACTGTTGGTGGCAGTGTAAAATGGTGCAACCACTGTGGAAAGCTGTATGGAGCTTTCTCAAAAAGTTGCAAATAGAAATACCATTTGACCAAGCAATTCCTCTACTGGGAATATGCCCTAAAGAAGCCATAACTGCCATTCAGGCAGATATATGCACACTCATGTTTATTGTGGCTTTGTTCACAATCGCAAAGAGTTGTCAACAACCTACGTGCCCATCAACAAACGAATGGATAGAGAAGCTGTAGTATATTCACACAATGGAATACTACGTTGCATTGAAAAACAAGAAACTGATGAATTACTAGTCAAAATGGGTGACCCTGGAAGACATTATGCTGAGTGAAATATCTCAGTCACAAAAGGACAAATACTGCATAGTGCCACTGTTGTAGAATGGGACTGACATCAGGGTTGGGGGGAGACTGAGAAAGATGGGCTAAATTATGTATATTGCATTGAAACAGATGAGGGTGAGAACAATTTAAAAGCGATATATGATTGGGTATTAT